ATGGAACCCTCGCACGAGTGTCATGCTTCCAGCAACAGCAGCAGCAGGCGCGAAATTCGTTCGTCTGACTGGCTCAGTATTCTCACGCTTCTGAGGCGAGGATGCGTGGGCGTCTGCCAAGGAAAGCTTACCCCTTTGTCGCACGGCGAGCCCGTGCTCGTGCCGTCTCATAAGGACCCGTTTGCGGGTTTCGCCAAAATAATTGGCTCGACCACATTCGACCACTCGAAATAATTTGAAGTATATACTAGCGCTGATAGTTCTTATCATTAGGATCCATTAATACAAAAAGGAGTTGGCTATTCAAACAGTTTGTTGTATTTGCCTATGCTCTCTGACCTGCTCATGAAACTAGGAGTACAGTGGAACCTCGGTTAACGAGTTTAAGCCCTTGCAGCACCGAGCTCGTCATGTGAAACGCTTGCCTTGCGAGACGTAGCCAATCAAACGCCATCAGTTCACTGATTGGCTGCAGGCGACCGAAAACCCATGTCCTGGGAACAAGACTCAACTTCAGAAAGAAGCAAACACACACGCACTGGCAGTTTGTTAACTAAGCAGCAGCTCGTCAATTGAAACAAATTTTCTGATAGTGGCTGGCCCGTTGCCTGAAATGCTCATAGATGGACTTGCTCGTCACCCAAGGCTCCGTTACGTGAAAATCTTTATCACTTTTTTTTATGACTCGCGCCTGATACTGCTAATTAAGTCGAACGCCGAACCAAGGAACCCGTAAGAGTGAAACAGAGAGAAGACCGGTTGGCCAGAGAGAGGGAGTTTACTGAGACAAACACGTTACAGGAAGTCAGAGCAAGTCATTCTCACACAAAGGGTGCATGTACTTAAGCGGGAACGCGAGGCACATAGCTGAGTCAGTGGGCCAATCAGTTATGAGGAAAAATCGATATTCACGGCGCGCTCTCGTGACAGCCGCGTAATCTGTACTTGCGGCCTTTCTGTGAGATGAGTAATCATGGGAATGGGCGCATTCCCAGCACTTTTTACATAGTTTTTGGCCTCCACTCGAAGTGTTGGGCAGGAAAGTCAACTTGCCTGAGATTTACTAACATTGACAGATCAACGTTTCTGCACCGGGGAAATTTTTTGCGATAACTCTCAGTTATAAGCTCAAGCATCGAACACTGACAAAGCTGCCAAATTGCCCATCTTCTAAAGAGGTGATTTAAATATTTTTGGTACCTTAACAGCTAAATGCAACAAACTGAGGATACTAAAGTTGTTGGCATCTACTTCCGTTACTTGGTCGCTGTTTTTGCCCCCTGGTATAATAAGCTGATTTTTCCAAAAGACTCTTATATCCTGCGCAAGCCAGTGTATACGCCGACGTTTAAATCTCGATTTTGCGTTTTCAGGCCCATCAGTCCAACCGAGTTTGCAATGCTCTTGCCCTCCTCCAATGTCTTGCTTCGCATCGCGACACACGAAGTGAATTTCTGAAGGCCAACATACCCTTCTACTTGTACAATTTTCTTAACACCAACAATCGTACGCGGCCCTTTGAGTATCTTCGTCTCACCAGTTTGGGCGTCATTGGAGCCCTTGCTAAGGCAAGTTCATTCACTGTTTGTCAAATCTGCTTTAGAAACTCAAAACGAAAGTAGGCGAGAAGGT